GCTGGGACCGAATGGCGACGTGGATTAATTCCGCCCCAGCCCATAACCGGGAGCGGAGAAAGCAACGGTTGCTGGTTGCGGCGATGGAAAACCGTTGGTGCACAGCTGAAGCTACATGGTTTTGAATTATTCTAGCCTTTTATAAAATTTCTGCTTGCTACTACTTCAATCCGGAAGCATCAGCTACAGATGTTTGTTGTTGTGAATACGAAACATTCTGTTACATAAACAAATGTTAAGTCATTTCTAGGAAAGATCAAAGGGAATAAAAATCGTTTTCACAAAGTAGACCTTTGCTTTCTACATGGAACTCGTGTCTGATTAACTATTTTGTTCACACAAATTACACAACACAAAAAATACTAGAGGGTCAAGGCTTATTTTGACGTTTCTTGTCGTGGTTACTGTACATCTAGGTTTGAGCCTTCGGTTCAACATAGGTGCTTGCATTTCTCGATTAAGTATTGTTTTTTACAAGTGATGTGCATATCGATAATAATTAAGGTGTACATGTTGAGTTTGTTATATCAAAGTTCGTCAGCCTAATCAACATAGATGTTCGTAAGAGCAGGCTGTGCATGCATGTATATCCTGGAAATAATGGATTCTGGGCTCCTTTGGAACGTAGGAATTTCACACGAATCAGTTCATGTTCACATAAAAATACAAGAAATAGGGGAAAAATCCCACATTCCAAAGGGAACCCTAATTGCGTCCTTAGTAAAACTATGCAAAGTTTGATCAAGTTTATAGGAAAAGAATAGTGATATTTAATACATCAAATAGGTATAATGCAAAAAATATATTCCACAAAGAATATAATAAAAATATTTATTTTGTGAAGTATTCATATTTTTTATACAACCTCGGTCGAATTCAAGATGTTTTGACTTAGCACTATGCTAGAATTGTATTGAGGAAGTATGTGTGTTCGTAGAAATGAGTTTATGTTTAGTTAAAGGAAAATAGTTTTGATGGAGGGTTCTTGATCGAGAACATGAAGCTGATTAGCCTCAAAAGTGTGAGAACCAAGGCAACTTTGAGAACATGAAGCTGATTAGCCTCAAAAGCCATTGGCCCGTTCGTTTCGCTGAAAAAACAAGCTAAAACACTGTCCCGGCTGATTTGTTATGAGAGAAAAACACGGTTCCGGTTGAAAAAACAAGCTGAAAAGTATGGATTATAAGATAAAGCGAACATGGCCTATTGGATAAACGTTTGATAACTTCAAAATTATAGCACCTTAATAATTGCCCATTGCAGAATATAAATCAAAACTAATTTGATGGAATCACACTGCTAGGAGAACTGAAAATTAAAGCAACCAATAAGCATGACACCACAAGAAACCGCACAACTAGTATGGGTGACCCCTAGCAATACTCAACCCTCTCCAAATATATATTGGAGCATAATGCGTTCACTCGAAGATTTTTGCAACTCCTCAAAGCTCCAAAGACCCCAAAACTACCTTCCTGCTCAAGCCATTTTTTTTAGTTATCCATTCCGTTGCGCGTAGGCTGTTGGATAGCGCGCGGTGCAGCCGAGGAGACCTCGCAGTCGAAGCACGAAGGCAACCTCTGTTTCCGGCGAGACGGCGATGAGGAAACCGCCGGACAGGCACCTCCTCCGCCTCAGCAGCCGCGCCGTGCGCTCTTCATCCTCCTCGTCGGCGCTCGGCCCCGGCGCCGGCGCTTCCACCTCCGCCGCGTCCCCACGCCCGCGCGCCGTCGCGGGCGGGCGGCCCCTGCGCGCCAGCTCCCCGCCCCCGCCTTCCGCCGTCGCCGCCGCCGCGTACTGGGAGTCCCGCGCGCTCCGCCGCGACGGGGAGGAGGGGGACTGGGAGGAGGTCGTCGCCGGGGCCCCCGGTACCGGGGAGATGGGGGAAGAAGAGGAGGAGTACAGGGTGGTGTTCTGGTCCCCGCCCACCATAGACGAGGTCACCGGCGCAGTCACCAGCATCCAGGAGTAAGATTTGCGTGCTCACCTCGTTAAGGCATTTTTTTCGCGCACTGTTAGATTGGATCTAACTTTGCGTCTTGATGTTCCTTGTGTTGGTGACGCGCTTGATTGTCACGACCTAGGTTAACCTTTGCTTCCATGGATTAGATTCGGTAGAGCTGTTTTTGTATGTAGTTTGATGCGACATAGATAGCTTCTCATGGGGACATGGTAGCCTTGCATGGTTCAGTTCGTTTAGCAGTGGTTAGCATTCGTTGTCGTATATGGGGTCCCTCTGCCATCTTAGTATAGAGTATTATGGGTGGGGATGGGGGTGGGGACGGGCTATGGGGGCAGGGGTGGGGGCGAGGGATGCATGGATAGACATCCACATGAACTTGCAGAGTTGCAGTATCAATTTTTTCTCATGCAGAATTCATTAACTATTGATGTTGTGTTCTTGAATCATAGTTCTGTGTACCTTATTGTACCCGTGTTGTAGGGACTATTATAGAACATTAGATCCACCTAATTACATCAACTTTCAATCATGATTAGTAGCAACTCTATGAAGAATTATAATTGGAATTATGGTAATTCCTCAGTGTTTGTTTTCTTGTCACCTTTTCCAACCCTGTGGATTGTATTACTTGCTCACTTTGGTTCATTCTTGCCAGGTGATCCCCAAGACTAGCTTTGTTGTGCTAACAAAATTTGCATTTGTCTTTTAACACTCCCCCCACCCCACCCCACCCAAAAAAAATACAGAACGATTGGTCTGAAAAAAACTAAAAGATTTGTTCTTGTTTGTATTCTAATTAGAACAAACAAAAACTAATTAGATAGAAAAAGGAGCGGAAAAGGTTCTATGGATTAGACTCCTTTTCTTTCCAGGGTTTGTATTATGCAACACCTTGTTCTGACCATATTGCACTATGTACCATCATTTGATAAACCGAAAAATGCTTTTTTTTCTCTGATTCAAGTTTGTAGCATGAAAACAAACTTTTTTTCTTTAAAAAACTATAGTAGACCTTTGCTCATTAACTCATACCAAAGAGTTAAATCTTATGCATTGCTGTTCTTTGCTCCATCTAATCGAGTTATCGTTTCCTTCAGGGTATTTGAGAATCCTCTTGGACAGGATTCAGATACAACTGATAGACAAAGAGCACTGCTGTCTGCATCAGGACATTCATCTGGCAATTCATCTGGATCAGATGACTGGATTGAACCTGCTGCCTATGTTCTTAACTCAACTGCTCTTCTTTCAAGGGAACATAGGAATGTTTTGGATGCTTTCCGTCTGTTGCAAAAGGACCCCACCGTTCAGGTTTAAACCGAACATATTCCTTTTATGTATTTTCAGTGTTCACCTAAACACTAGATGCTAAAAATGGTCGGTCACTTACTGCGTAGCCTTTTATTCGGGCTCAGCAGCTGTTTAAACAAGCAAAATGGCTGGTTAAATGGACACAACTGGTGACCATGTAGTGATTAAACAAGCTAAACGGATGTTTAGGCTAGCAGAGGTATTTTGTAACACTTAGTTAGATAATGATACATTATTACCAAATCATCTTATAGTGCACTGTCATATTTTGATGTACCATTCGTAATTTCTGATCTGAGCTGTCACCTAGAAGTTTCTCAACAGACTATCTGTCAATCATTGTGTTAACCTTGTCCATTATGCAGAAAATGGTTATGTCTTTGTCATGCGATAAGGCTGTTTGGAATGCTGTCATGAATAATGAGGCAGTTCAAGACTTCAGGAGATCTTTACATGATGGTATGTTGCATGAAACTTTCATGTACATGCATGAATCATATACAATGTTCTGTTTGTTAATTCTAAACTGTACTCAGATGAACCATTTGACCTTAGCCGTGTAACATTTGCAAGAAATATCCACTGCTTTAGCTTTTCTTTCTGGTCTACATGTTTTAACATATTCCAACTAACAACATCGTTCAGGAAAAGAAAATGATAAAAAGGGAAACACTGATGGTCCTGCTGAAGTGCTTAAGTGGATCCTGGAAAGTGCCCAGGCAAAAATAGTTGAATTCTTTGAGAATGTTATGAAGATAATCAACATGTTGATCCACCCTGAAGAGGATGAAGATAAGCCAGATGCATACAGCGATGCAGTTAAGGTGTCGTTCATGCTCACGGTATTCGTCTTCATCGTGGTGGCCATTGCTCGTATCAAGTGAGCACAACAATCCGTCGACTTTATATTTCTATATGTTTTATTGTCTCTTGGTTATACACGGAGCAAGTCTAGTCAGTTAGTCAGGTCAAGATTGAGGCCATCCAAAGGTTGACTGGCCAAGAATTTGGAATTTGTTATCGTGCCGTTGTGTGGAATTATGATATGTCCTAGTAATATTAACATTATTATGCTTGCATTCAGCGTGCTTATGCTTTTCATTTCCTGGTGATTTTGGCTACAGTTATGAACATTGGGATTTCAAAGTGTGGTGAGGCGAGATTCTGGCATTCTACAAGCTCGTCTGTATATGTTTTGTAGAACAAACCAAGCTTCATAACTTAGCCTACTCAAAATTTTACCCTATGGTTTGGCTGTTATCATTTAACCCGGGCAGTGGCAAATCATGCAAGGGAATGTTGTTGTTCTGGGTCATATTTGTGTGCTCAACCATCGGAGCCGGATGGACCTATGTAGCTACGCCTCTACTCCAGCAGTCCAGCGTCAGCAAATTTCTTGTCTGCAGTCCTTCATTTTAAGGATACAACATTAACTGTAGAAATAGCCCGCATAAATGTCAATTGATAAAATTCTTTGTATAAATAAAGTTACAGGCTGAGTTTGATTTGATTTGTTCCATTGAAATAGCCCGCATAGATGTCAATTGATAAAATTCTTTGTATAAATAATGTTTGATTTGGTTCAGTTCACAAGCTCATGCTCATCTTTCGTTCGCGGAAAACAGACCGTTGGGTGCGTGTGCAAACAATTCTGACCAATGTCAATGTCCCACACTAACGACTAACCCCTGTTGCAAACAAATAACAAGGCTTAAGATAAGCAGCTTTAGCCGGTGATCATGGTGCCGGTGCCCTCGTCCGTGAGGATCTCGAGCAGCAGCGAGTGCGGGACGCGGCCGTCGATGATGCTGGCGGTGCGCACCCCCTGTGCGATGGCACGGACGCAGCACTCCACCTTGGGAATCATCCCGCCGCCCACCTTCCCCTCGGCCACCATCCGCCTCACCCCGGCGACGTCCGCCTCCCTCACCAGGCTCCCTGGGTCGTCGCGGTCCGCCAGTATGCCGGACACGTCCGTGAGCAGCAGCAGCTTCTCGGCTCCCACCGCCGCCGTGTCGGCGTTGATGTTGTAGGCCTGCCCGGCATCGTCGGCCGCCACGGTGGCGATGACGGGGATGTGCCCGGACGCGATGATGGGGTGGAGGACGGCGGGGTCCACGCGCGTCACCTCGCCGACGAAGCCGAGCGAGGCGGCGTCAGGGGAGGGCCGCGCGGTGAGGAGGCGCGCGTCCTTGCCGCACAGCCCGACGGCGGTGGTCCCCGCGAGGCTGATGAGGGACACGAGCTGCTTGTTGACCTTGCCCGCGAGCACCATCTCCACGACCTCCATCTCCACGACCTCCATGGTGACCGCGTCCGTGACGCGGAGCCCATTGCGGAACTGAGGCTCCACGCCGACGCGCGCCAGCCAGGAGTTGATCTCGGGCCCGCCGCCGTGGACGAGCACGGGGCGGAGGCCGACGCAGGACAGCAGGACCAGGTCGCGGATCACCGACGCCTGCAGCTCCGGCGACTTCATCGCCGCTCCGCCGTACTTGATCACCACCGTCTTGCCCTTGAACCTCTGGATGAACGGGAGCGCCTCCGACAGCACGTCCACGCGGCTCAGCGCCGCTGCAGGAGACGCCGCTGTGGGCTGCGCCGCCGCCACGGAGGCGGCGGAGACCCGGAGACCGCCGCTGCGGCTGGAGGCCGACGGGGTCAGGGCCACAACGCGGTTAGCGTTCAGGCCATGCTTTGGGGTCGGCGTGGAGGAGGCGGCGGCGCGGGGAGGGTGGGGCTTGGTGAGCCGCATGGTTTGCAACGGGGTTGTGTTCGATGAAATGCCTCGCTTTGGTTTGGGTGTATGCGGAAGCGAGCTTGTTGCTCGGCACTGGAAGTGTGCCGCTGCGGCGCAGCGGAAACGGGTAATTGTAGATTGGGACGGCGGCGGAGTAGTGGCGAGTGGCGACACCGGAGCACGTGTTTTCGTTTGGGGATCGACTTTGCTTTGCAAATTTGAGTATGTATGTTGTTTTGTGCTCTAGTTTTGATTAACTATTTGGCACGGTGTAGCAGCACATTTGATTTGATTGAAAAATTTGGATAAAAATGTGAAAAGAAATGAGGGCAATTCTCACATCTGGAGAGGTTCTGATTCATATGAACTTTCTGGTCGAGTCTCTGTATTTACATCGGAGACATCCGTTGGATTTTCTGCATTTTAAAACCCGTTCGACAAAAATGAAAGGTCAGGACTAAACAAAACCAGTGTTGCCTGACAGGCCTGATTGGTGTCTCGAGCATGGCGTGAAATATGTTTGTTTCTGAGATGAACCGACTGTCTTGACATGCCCAACGGTCTGCCAGGGACACGACTATTGTAGCATTTGGGCTTCAGGGTCTGATGAGTGGCTGGGCCAGCAGGCTGGAGTTTTGGCCCAGCAATCAACTCTTGGACTTTTTTTTAATTATTATTTTCCAACTTAACGAAAAACAGAACGACGAACTGATCTTCTATTCTAGTTAGGCTCTCCTCTTCCCGGTTCTTCCTTCTCAGCTGATGTCCTTCTTCTTCAAATCTTCTAGAAAACTCTCTTCTGATTGTATCGTGGTCTGACTTGATTTGCTCAAAATTGCTCGAGTGGTTTGTGACATTGCAATGTGAACTGCCAGTAAGTATAGCCCGGCCCAAAAACAGACTGGATTAGGCCTTGTCGCGTCAGTCATTGTGGACACCAACCATGGGGAGAGCCCAGTATCGTCGTAACCTAGTTTGTTGGGCTATGTGGATCTGTACCGACAGTGGCTTTCCTACTTTTTTTTTTGTCAAATAGTACTGTATCTGTCACCTCACCTGTTGTTTATATCTAAATTCCAAAGAGCCCTGCACAGCCAATATGTTAGATCCAAAGACGTATGGTTAGTCATTACAGAACATAACATTACATTGTATAATACATAGTTTGCAGCTCTTCTTCGCTATAACTGATTATATGCAGGTTTAAGCTGCTGGTCATCATTGTTAAATGTTCTGTGTTGTAGATAGTGATATTACAGTCAAACGCTCTGTGTTCGTGGAAGAGTACAAACTTCCATTACTCCCTGCATCCAAAAGAAAAGGCATTTTCAGATTTAAAATAATTCAAACTTCGTTAAATTTCGACCAAATTTATGGAAATTTTATACTAATATTTATGTCTTTAAATAGATTCATTATGAAATATATTTTATAATTAATCTACTGATACTCATTTGGTGTTATAGATGTTAGTTTTTATTGATTTAGTTAAAGTTTTAAATTGTTACTCCCTCCGTCCAAAATAAGTGATGTTTTTTTACTTTGAGACATCTCGTTTGACCGTTTGTCTTATTCAAAATTTTTGTATAAATATTATCTATTTTTTTATGACTTATTTTATCATTAAAGATACTTTAATAATGACTTATTTATTTTACAATTTTCATAAAAAATTTACATAAAACGAACGGTCAATGTGATATTTTAGACTCTTTGAAAAAAAAAAAATGCCTTTTTTAGACGGAGAGAGCACCGAGCACCTTGAGTATTTGGGGCTTATTGTCGTCTGAAATTCTTAGCCGTGTATTGGGGGCTGTCGGCATACGCTACAATGTGCATCGAGTAATCATGAGTTTTTTGGCCGTGTGTTTTGGACGGGCCCGTTTGTAATTTCTGACCTTTATACAAGCTCCATTCATTTGCTGGCAGCAGTAGTACGGTAATAGCTCATTGATGATCTTCTTTGTTCCTCTGTGGAGACAGGTTGGTAAAGACTGCAGCTCCTTTTTTGCCTCTGCCATACTGCTACGCTGGAGAGTCATGCATGTCATGCAGTGATGCTGCCCAGTATTGATTGCAGACTGGAGCCTGGATATGATCTGCCATTCCCCGTGGTGCGGGGGCGTGGTTGGTCTCGACTCTCGACGGCCAGATCCAGATGGGACATGACACGAAAGGCAGCCATTGCAATGCCCGAATGGATGGACTTGAGGACGTCCCGTCTTGTATACTCCTACTGTACAAGACTTTTATCATTCATTTTTTGACCGTATAACAGTGCTTTGTTGCCACAAACACCCTGCTCGCTTGTTGGTTTCAGCCAGCTTAAACCAGCTAGCCAACAGTGTTTTTCTCTCACAATAAACCAGCACCAGTCAGCCCAGAAATCAACCAGCGAACAGGCCGAAAGTGTGCGGCTGTCTGCCCATTAATTCAGGCTCGTGTATAAGCTGCGTGCCACCTGTTTTTTTTTTGGTACTGTAACGCTGAATGAGAATGGGACTGCAAAATCCTCTTTCGCATGTCTTCCTAATCCCATTTCGTGCTCCACGTTTGTCCATAACCGGTGCCGCTCCACAGACTACATACAGGCATTTAAAGGCCGTCGTCGTCCCCTACTCTCCCTTTCCCATTCATGACATCCCTTGAACCCGTGTCGCGCAGCAGGAGCAGGAGCGCCGCGCGAGTCGGCGAACAGTCGCCGGCTGGGCTCGTGCTCGTCGCTGGACCGGTCGGGCGCTCCTACTGCCAATCGCGTGGACCTATCGAGAATCCGAGGCGGCAAGCACGCACGGCCGGGCGGGCGCGCGGCCGGCAGCACTGCTAGCCGTGTCATGCCCCTTGCCTGCCTATTGGCTACATTGCCTACCGCGCACCTGTGCTGGGCTGTGGATGGATCGAGCACTCGTCACACAGTCACACACAGGCTTTGGCGTTGCGCCGGTAGGTGCAGTGAGATTGTCGTGGCAAACCGGCTGCACTTACCCGGCAGCGGCACCCACACCACACGCGCGCACCTCCCTCTCTCTCTCTCTCTCACTCTCACTCACTCATGTAGTAGCGGACGGAGATGGGTGAGCTGAGTGCGACCATGAGAGCGCCCTGTCGAGGAGGAGCAAATTAATCATGTGGGCGCCCGGGCCAGCAGAGCCAGAGCGATCGAATGGGGGTGCACGAACTCCGGTTCCGTGACCGTGAGAGCTAACCAGCCGCCCGCCCGGCCACCCACGTCCACGTACGTACCTCCTCTCCTGCTCCCACGCCTCTACTCCAGCAGTTCCTTCCACGCGAGCGCTTTCGTTTTCCCATGGTAGGTACAGGGAGCTGTAAAAAATGCCTTGCCGCCAATGAACGCTGTATTGGTGTTGAATGGGGTACCTGTAGTGGTACCTGTACAAGCAGCGACGGAGCCAGCGGTGGGGCTGGGGGGGGGGGGGGCTCTAGCCCTCCCTACCGATCCTGGGCACGTGGAGCCCCCCTAAGTCCTCTCTTAAAATTTTATGCATATATGTATTAGGTGGGAGGGGCTAAGGTTAAGAGAAGATAAAAAAGTCTCTATTCTTTTGTTCAGCCCCTCTTATTTTTTTTTTCTGGCTTCGTCCCTGCTACGGAGTACTACATGGTCATTCCTTCCGTGGACTGTGACTGTGAGTAGGGGACCAGACCACCCAGATGCTTTGCCAATGGCGCACTCTGGGAATTGTTCCCTGATGCCCAGTAGTACAAAAGCAACTTTATGCTAGCCGTAGGACAGTAGGAGGAGTAATAACATTCGCCCACTGTTTTGCACGGTACGTACGTAGTGAAGTTGACCCCCTATATACTGGGGAGTGGGGATCCTCTATTCCTTCCTCTCGGGTTAATTAAAAGCCACGGAACAAAACTGTACTGCACTGTGCGCGCGCGGACTAGCTCAATTTATTAGTGACGCGGAAACAAAATGCGTCTGTGATGTGTGATCGCAGACGTGCATGCATGCTTTCCGCTTTCGTACGTGTATTCAGTAAAAACACAACTTGGGCGCTTGTCCCAACTAAACGTCGCCGGTAATGTAATGTAACCGAGCACGCGAGGGACGATTTCCCTTTGGTTTTGTTCTCCCCCCTCTGGCTCTCTCGTTCCGACGTAGCTGCTGAATCGTGCGTTGCTTTATTCCGGCCGGCACTCTTTTATCATTTTGCATTTTTCTCGGATTCTCTCGGCGTCGTTCAGGCTCCAGCTGCTATTCCATCTAGAAGCGAGGACCATTTCTTTGGAGTTTGGGCTGTAGTAGGGGCCTGTACACTCTTTTTGTGCTTGTGCGTATATATATCTACATCATCTCCTTTTTTTCATTTTTTCCGGCTTTTGCTCATTTGCTGTGGTTATATTATTAGCAAGCAAGGACGACAGCTACGCATACCTTACTACTGCTCCTAATCAATGGATCGAACGAATCTATGACCAGTGTGTAGCGTACTATCAGCGTAGCTTTAGCATAGCACCCGGCCGGCCGGCCTCCTTTTCTGCCTACGGATTTTTGTCTCGCTCCACGATCATCTCGAACACAGGGTGGGAGAAGAGGTATATGGACACCTGTAGTTTAGGGCATATCATCGTGGCTAGATCTTCCTGCCCACTTATTATTATTACTACACACCATCTATCAACAACCTGTATAAGTGCGTGCGTGCATGCATGGCGCAAGTGGTGACGTAGCATGCACCCGTGGCAGCGTCCAAGTGCGCAAGTGGGTTGCTTGGATGATTTCCTACCACGCACACGCACTCGACAGATGAGCCAAACATAAAAACGCCGGCCGATCGGTCGACCCATCCACGACGTCGCGCGCTGCCTTTTTACTATCGCCGCAGGAGGAAGCTTCAGCCTCCCTTTTGTTCATGGGGAGCCGCGGCACCCGCGCAGGCACAGGCACAGTAGCCATGCATGCGGTCGATCGCCTCTCCCGCACAATCATGGGGGGAATCTAATCTCTTTGCATTGAACGCCATTGATCCACGTCATTATGCACGATG